CGTTGATCGACCTACGTAGTTTAAACTGATGTTGTATTGGATCTTCTTGAGGTCATTTTACAGGTGAATAAAGAACATCACTAATTGGGTTTTACCAAGCTTTCGGCGAATGTTCCGCCATCCTCAGGGCCTAATTTATTAAAAACAAAATTTACATGAACAGAGTTACATAACACATCTTATATAAATACATTACAAAATACAATTACGTATTTAACCAAGTTGTTAGAAAAATTAAATTTATTGCGCATGTTTGTTGTTTTTTTGAAGTGAAGGTGAAAATGAATCTATATACTAAAACCAAAAACATTCTTGCTTAAAGTCTAGTGTCACTCATATGTCCATCCTTTGGTTTCATTTTTTCATAAGTTCACACTCAATCTCAGGTACATGTATTTCTTTATCACAGATACATTATATATATACAACTTTTTAACTGTTTTTTAACCTAAAATTATAATTTAACTAGCTACAACTATGTACAAGGATTCGAAGAAATTGAGGCACACATCGGACGGTTATAACACGGTAAGGGACCCATCCCTGTTATCAATCCCGGTATGATTAGACACACCAACGTCACTTTGCGCTTTATTTCGATTCATGAACAGTTGCAGGATTCCCGAATATGCCATGATGGAGCCCAGTCGATCCATTTGTAAATTACAAGTGTTTTCGGTAACATGAACAAAGACTTTTTCGTAAAGTAGTCGTCTCTCCAAGTTCAACTCTCTGCCCAGGATCCCAGGAGAGTCCAACCTGAAGATATGAGTGGCTATACAACTTAGTATAAGTCATAGGTTTACACACAAACCCAAGTATATGTTTCCAAAATGCAGATTATTTATCAATCTACCATGCCTTAGGCGAACATTCAATAATATTGCAATATTTAATTATGACCCTCTGCGAATTTGATACTGTTCTAACTAGTCTTAAAATAGGCCATTCGCGGTTGATACGCGGACAAAAAAATGTGTCCCGAATTCAGAAAATCGAGGGACGTGCCATGCAATCGCAATGTACAGAAAGCGAGAAGGCAACGTAAATAATACTACATTTAGAGATGGCCCTCCGAGAATTTAAGATAGATCTCAGCTTAGTATAGGCCGTAGCTATCTTATTTACATGGAGAAATGCAGAAAATCTGTCATGCCTTGGTAACAACAAAACGAGTAGGCAAACAGAATATTACAAAAGTTAATTATGACCCTTGTGAATCTGAGATCGTCAAACTTGACTTATAATAGGCCATACTTCCACAAGTCCTGCGTCTACATAAAGCACGTGAAACTTGATCATTTCTGTTCTCAGGCAAAGGATTTAATCGAAGTTTCCTAATAATACAGAGAAGAATGGTTTGTCTTGGTTACATATAGGGAGCAAGTAGGCGTGCATTATTTTTATCAAACTCAGAAGGTACGTTTTGTTATAAAAGTTATTTTGTGTAAAAGGTTTGGTTTGTTAAAGTTCTAAACCCTTATTAGAATGATGGAAGATAATTTCGTGTTCGTCCTACTCGTGTAACGATTTGTAGATAAAGCAATAATTTAATAGGTTGAGATTTTACGTTAAGGTTAAAATAAGCCAAAATTATTTTCGAGAAGAAGAAGATAGGCTAAAACCATTGCCAGGACAACTTCTGAAATAATGATAATTTTTGTCTAGTGATCTTTTTTCTTACACAATACCTGTATTGTTTGGAAGATGTTACAGTAAATCTTAGATCAATTGTGAGGTTAAATCATAGTGGATTTAGGAAGAAACTGTCATTATGGGATAATAAGCAGATATATTTATAAATCGTCCTTTTTCCTCAAAGTCTCGACTAATCCCGACGGTAGAGCTTAGGCTAATTCCGACGGTAAAGCTGACTCTTCTATGGGCACGTTATTAAAATATCGACGAGATCAAGATTTGAAGACCCCCCCCCCACCGAGCTCGGGAGGACCGCAATTACAAAAGTGATTGCTCTTTTGAAATTGATGTTTGTTTAAGCAAATAACAGGTTTGGGATGTAGATAATAACAACCCGTGTGGCGGCGTTCTCAATCAAACAGCATATACTTAACAAATTGTTACCTTGGCGAGGGAAAGCCTGATTGAAAATTCATATTCAAAAACGATCATCTTCATAAAGATTTGTGGTTTGACTGATTAATTAATAATAAAAAACTGGCAATTAAAAGTTCCCCTCTTAAGGATTCAACGGACTTATTTTTTTTTCTTCGAAAGAGATTTATCATCAATTATCATAGTAATTACCTTAAGCGATGCTTGTTTTTATAAGAGTTACTGAATAATTATATAGGCAAATTCTAATTTTCTCGATTTTTCGAAAAAGTTCTAAACAATAATATTTTAAATGAATTTTTATAAATTTACCATATATAATATAAAAAAACATTTATTTATAGTTCGATTAATTAAGGTTTTTAGTTGGGATAAAAAAGTCAGTGTCACGAGCGGGATTCGAACCCACGACCTTCGGCTTGATACGCTACTCTACCACTTGAGCTAACGTATTTTGATCTCCAGTGCCCGAGAGGTGGAATAGCGGCGTCTCAAGCCGAAGGTCGTGGGTTCGAATCCCAGTCGTGACACTGACTTTTTTATCTCATCTAGAAACCTTAATTAATTGAATGATATCAATTGGTCAAGCGGACCACGAAAAATAGTGAATTTATTTATAGTACTCAAATTAAGCCAGCTCGTTTTGTTAATTACTTTCAATCGCACCTTAATGTTCAGATCTCATTTGTTAATATCTCTTACGTCTTTGCATTTGACTCTAGAGTCTAGACAAATGTTTTAATCTGTCTGAATTGCGTTCAGTACTTGCTCAATGCTCCTTTAATATTTTTATCCAAGATCGTATCAATATTGAATTATATCTTTCAAACGAATAAAACCCCCGTTACTTTTATTAAATCACACATTTCCCCTTTATGCAAAAGAGGCGATATTCACGATGTCAGCAATTATAGGGGCATCATGCCAATAAACAAAATGTATACGCGTTTTTTTGTTCATTTTTCCGCTGCATTTGAATCTACAGATCGCAATGTTCTATTTTTTAAATTGACTAGGTGTATCCTATAAATTTATGTAGTGCTAAAATCTTCGTAGAGGTCATTAGACACGTGAAAAAAAGACTAAAGCCGGGAACACACTTACCCGATTACTTACGCCATGCGACGCTACCCGACGCCTTGCCAAGTTTTGGTGGGGTGTGCACATCTACGTCGCGTACAGTCCACAGCGTTTATCACAATAATCACAATAGCAACGCATCTTTTGTTCTTAATCCACTATTTTGAACAAAACTCGTAATAAATTGTTAGTTAAATTTTATGAGCAAAACCATCTAATAAATTGTTTGTTAAACTTAATTGTTTTAAATAAAGTTACTCCTAACCATCGTAATTAAACAATGTTTATAAAAACTTATGCATTTTTGATCTCGTTTAATTTGGTTTATATTAAAATAACATGTTGTAATTAATACAACGACAAAATTACTTGTACTTAGTTTGAAATAAACTACAAAAAATATGAGTGTCCTGTTCTGATGCTACCCGACATTATAGAATGTTGTAATTTTACGAGCAAAACTATGAAATAAATTGTTAATTAAATTTTATGAGCAAAACCGTGTATAAATTGTTCCAATTTTAGTATATGTACCGCCGAAGCGAGTACAATAAATTGTTAGTTAAATTGATTATATCAAAAAATCGTATTCCGGTGTTTTGATTAATTTTCTACCAAACCATTAAAATTAATTTTTTAACTAAAAACTAATTAATTTTTAATCACAGTTAATTTGGTTTATATTAAAATAAGTATGTTGCAATTAATATAACAACAATAATATGTAGTTTGAATAAAAATATGAGTGTCCGGTTCTTCTGTCTTCGACTGTACTCGATGCGACCCGACGAAAATCTGGACAGTGGGGATCGCAGAGCGTCGGGTAGGTTAGCGTGGCATAGCATCGGGTAGATGTGCACGGGGGTAATGCAACCTTATGGAAAATCGGAGTTTGGATTTGCGTCGGGTAGCATCGGGAAGAGTGTTCCTGGCTTAAATGCTGGGTTAAGTGATGACCTCTACGAAGACTGGAACCCTACGTAGATTATCTGCAGGTCGATCAACGAACATCATATCTATAAATTTATTTGGGCGTTGCAAAGTCTTTTCGACGACACAAAATCTGCAATCTGGGATGGTAAAAACCTTTTGGAATGATTTTTAACATCTTCTGGGGTCCAAAAGGATGCGTCCTAAGTCCCTCTCTGTTTGCTTGATTTATAGATAATTTATCGGAGCACTTAGGAGGTAAAGTTAGAATCGGAAACAGGAAAATTAAACTGTTAACGTATGCTGATGATGTGTATTACTGGCAGGCTCTGCTTTGATGTTACAAAAATATTAGAAAATTTATAAATATATTGCGACTACTAGAAACATAACGGCAAGACCGCTAAATCACAAATTATGATGTTGAAAAACAATAATCCTAATTTACGACCAAACGAAAAATGGAAATGTACAAAAGAAAAAAAAATAGTTGACACATAAATATTTGGGGTTTCATTGACATCATACTTAAATTTCATGAAACATTTGATGGAATAAAATTATCCAAATTAGGCTTTCATAGAACTTTGGGGAAAATATTTAATAAAGTAGTTTTAAGTTCTGTGGAGGAGTTTCAGGTCGCACTTTGAATGGCATGCTACTGCGCAAATTTGGGGGTAGAGAGAATAGATACATTTAGAGTGCACGACACGCAAGAATGGCACAATTACACAGAAAACAAACACTTTGAGCCCTGAAGATGATCTCAATAAAAATCGAAACGTTGGCACGATAAAGAAAATGTTTTTCTGAAACCTACATCACACCAGACTGCATCTTACGATTTCTAGATAAATATCGTTTAACGGTCACTAATCACCACAAAAAAATATTATTATGTAAAAAAATATAAATACCTTATTCAACAGGAAGAAACAGCGAAAATAAGCGGACCTGATTGACCACCAAGATTAATATAAAAATCCACCTGAAAAACAACGAATTATTTTGATAATTATGTTTTAACATCAAAAAGAAAGGATTTGGTTAATGTTCAACCTTTTAGTTTGGGCAATGTTATTTTGTTCCTCGGCGAAGCACACATTACGAAAACTTGATTTGAGATCTGTGGGACGTGGCATGTGATCCTCGGTGACATGAGTCCAGTATCAATCAATAAGTGCTTCTGCCCGTTAGGAATACCCACGTCCCCTCTTGGTTCTCAATCAGCCCCACGATTACTCCCTCAGAAACCGGATGAGCTACCATAACAGATTTGTAATGCGCTTAGAAACGAATCTCAGGCCGATTGACTAACAAGAAATAATATTGTTTGGACATGTAATTATTACCATGCAGGATAAGAGGGGATTGTACTTTTGACTTGTAAAAATCATGATGTTTGGCAGATATCTTATATAATTTTATTGCAATCAAGTAAAGGCTTGGTTTTTCCTTATCATGGTTTGCATGCATTAGTTTACCAGTGTGAGCTTAACAATGACTGCTATCTGAAAGTTTAGAATCATGTTTTCCTGTTTCTACCTCCTTCACTCCTTCCCATCCTCTCTCTTTCTATCTATCTACCTATCGATCTATTTAACATTATTCTGTTTTGTTGGCCTCTTCACCCTTTCGCTAACCATACCCATTATCTGTGGCTGGAGAGATCTCCACAAAACTACCTCTGAGTTAGTCCATAACAGTTTGGGATTGTGTATATCCCTTTCAACCATTAGGGAACGTTAAAAAATCTCCCTTACCACCAACAAAGACTGGGAACTAAACTGCTCAAAAATGAGTAGGGATATTGCCAAGTTTGTAGCATTTACTTCACCTAGCATTTTTATTTTATTTTTACTATAAAATGCATTAAAATTTATTAGAAATTATGTTTTTTATTGACGTACAATTTAATTAAGGGATTTTGAAAAATAAAAAAATTAAAGATTTTAATTCCTTAATTTTGTTTAGTGGATGTTTTTAAACGATTCGTACTGTAATTGATACAGTTTCATAAAGATAATGTCCTCTTAACTAAAACCTCTTTTCACTTGGCGAACTGTTAATAAGATTGTCACTAATTTCATACGGAATTTCAATATATAGGTGTTGCAGCGCTGCACTCAGTTGTTGCAGGTCAACTGGTTGCGGGTGGTGATCGAAAAGTCTTCTCTGGATCGCATCCCACATATGTTCAATGGGAAGGGGCTGATGGGAAATTCCAAGGTTTTGTAAACATTGATAAACAATTCTGCCTCTAAGAGGTCTGGCATTGTCATCCAGAAATCGAAAATCCCTGCCAATGAAATCCTTGGTTTGAGGGCTGTATTCCTCGTTAATTTCTTGGACATAACGGACTGCGGTGAGGTTGCCTTCAACAATATGGAGTCCAGTTCCTCCTCCAGTGTAAATCTCAGTCCAAACCAATACACCGCCTCTTCCAAACTATACTGAAGAGAGCACGAAATGGAACATTGTACACGTCCCTTGTTCTTGGTACACTCTTCGTCGCCTGCTATCACTGTACAGACAGAAACGCGAACAGTAAATATAACAGCATTCCAATTGGTGTTCTCTTCTAGGCTCTCGCTGCATATTCTCCTGAGTTGCTGGTGGCCGGCTGTTGCTGCAGGTACCCACCCTTGGAGCTGTGGCCCACTCAATGTGGCACTACGGCGACGACGGGTGGTATAGTGTGGTTGAGGCTCGAGACCCCGATACGGCTCATCTCGAGTCCTCATCCCCGGCCCTTTCTCAATCCAGGTTCTTCCATTCTATCCTGTGACCCCATCCCAACCTTTTGTTACAAGGGGGGTATCCAGGCGCAAAATAATGGTGTAGCCTAGAGGGCTTGGCAACCTCTCTAACCACAAGCTGTACTCGTGTCAGCCTCGGGTCGGCATGGGCGGCGGGTGCCTTACCAGAGGCACACGAGGGTCAGTGTACCAGATTCTGTCTTCATAGACGGGGAGGATGCATGACCATCTGTACCACGGGGTAACAAAACGTTACAAATTCAGCCCTTGTTACGTTGGGACGGTGGCTTGTGGTGATGCCCCTGGCGAGAACTTAGAGAAGAGGCTGTCTTCTGCCTGTGACCTTACGTTTGACCACCGTTATACAACCGGCCTCACGGGTACGGCGGATCGGACGGCAGCGTATAGGCGTTGAGGACGCGATGATTATGCTGGATAGTCCCTCGAATGCGTGAGTAGTAGCGGTTGGGAACGGGTAGTGAATCGGTTGCTCCAACTCGAGTATGCTTTGCGTAGCTGTGAGTACGACCGTCGTTGTTACCTTGAGGTACAACGAAGGATTAGACCACTTAGGCGTAAGCTTATGGCGTCCCTCGAATGCGCATGGCAGGTGCAGGCTGAGCTCGATGGGAGAATTTACTGTAGCGGTGCTCCTCTAGGGTGTGGTTAGAACTTCCACTTTAAACGAAACTGCGGCCGGAGAGGATCCGGAAGTTTCGACGCTCGAGGAGCCCCAACACGCTGGGAGATAGAGTCGCCTTCTCTATTTAGGGAGTGCGCGAGAGACCAGGCTGATGTACTTCGGCTTAGGTACTCCTTTGCGCGCGGCATACGGTCTGATGCTTAACGCAGACCCGGCCACTTGGAATGGACAAGCGGGGAGCGAGGATGTCTTGGCCCTTCGTGGCTGAGCTGCATCTATACCAACGCTGCGGCAGTAAAACACTTCTGTCGTATGAGGAGGTGCGTCAGCTCTCATCATGAGAATCAAAACGTCCGATAAGGCCGAATAGGCTAGATGCGGACGTTAAAGATCCTCAGCGTCCTTTTTAGGATGACCGAGTATGCGGGAACCTCATGTTGCTGCAGGTCGTCCAAAGCTGCATACGATGTGAGGCCAACGTCCCACAAACGATTACGAATTTGTGTTATGTTGATAAAGGCCTTGCTAAAATAGGTTGTGCTTCATTTAGGATCTGGCAGGCACTATGGAAAGGGTTCCGTCTTGCAGCAATGACAATATTTCTGTTCTTCCTTAGCGTCGTAATGCCTGATATCCACTACTAGGCCTCCATTTGGCTCTTCAGTTCTCTCGGTGTGAGAAATTTGAAATAAAAAATGTAAAATTAAACTCAATAATTTTCGTGGTCAGCTTGACCAATTAATATCTTTTTCGCATGTTCAAATACGAGCGACATTAGAACCAGTTTCTCATCGGAACGTCGTGTTGGCGATGGATAGGCGACTTCTCACACTCTCACAATTCATATCTAGAGACGTTATTCACAACTCCTTCAACATTATGATGAGCGTAGAATTGGCCCTTTTTTCTATAAATCACTTCAACATTAATTTGTCCCAATAATATATCGATATATAAGAATATGACTGTATCGGTCCGTAAAAGTTCTTCGGTTGTTTGACTAACGAGGAGAAACATTTTTAAACATTTAATTACAGTTGGGATTACTCAAAACGTCACCCTCTCCACTTTTTTAAACCGTGCCCAGGCGCTTAGGGCCCCATCAGTCATCCGCATCTGGCCCGGTCGCCATCAATCACCAGGGCGTATCACACGTTTTGCGATTTGGAAATCGAAACCGGCCAGGATCGGAAAACTGCCGACGGAACGGAACGCCATCGATTACACTTGAATGAACGTTGGCGTGCTTTAAATAAGGGATTCCTGAATATATTTAGCCTTGGGTTTCCAGCACCCCAGGCCCGACTCGGTTGAATAATAACACGAGCTTTTATTAAACTGGAAGCGGAAAAAGAATTAACCTTTATTTTAAAGAATAATTTCGTATTCAGTTATTCCAGAATTTATTTAAACAAACCAGAGTCTCTTTCCATCCACTTGTATAGCGTCAATATTGGGTTGCTTCCTTTTTACTCCCTTTTCCGATGGGAATTTACGTTATTACATAAATTTCTCAATAGTTCAATTCATTGAATACTTTTGAACTAATCATAATGGCATCAATTCGGCCTTCGCAAATAAATCGGAAACAGAGATGTAAAAGAAAACTTATGTCATAAAACGTAAAAGTTCTTAATGTACGCCGAAAGTAGAAACATTCGTGTTTTCGATCGTTCTAATAGCGTTGATGGTGGATCATTGTGGCAGGAGTTAAAAAAATTTTAAATGGAACATGGCACAATGGAGAAATAAATCTGCACCCGGCTAATATTGCAAAAAGAAGTCTGTACAAAATAAATCTGAAACATTTTATAAAAAAAAACAACAATTTATATATACCTAATATAATTTTGTACAACCATGAATATTAATTTTTTCATTCTATTAAACTAAATCGACTGATATATATATANTATATATAAAACCATTGAAATACATGCATAACCGATCAAAACCACATTGAAATTTATATACAATATTTTTTCTCTGTTTCTAGAAATATTGGCCACATGCCAAACCTTTGTCGACTTATCACCAAAATATATTTTATCGAATCCAGTGATTCCAAATTTTTAGTTCTCTTGTCACTATCTTACTTTAAGTTTCATTTACAACGTAGAGATTGCCTCTAGACTACACTCACTTCACGACGGGTAATCCATCTTTAGTTCAACCTGTCCGAATAGATAAACGTCACGTCTGTCAGCTCATGATTTCTTATCATGTTCGCTCAGTAGTGTTTATCTTATTTTAGACACAATACATCAGTTCCTACGGCTAATGTGCATTCCAAAAGAAGACGAAACCTTACGAATAGTTTTCCAATGTTAACACTTGAAAACTACTTACATTACAAGTAAATGAAAACTACTTCAGGTCAACTTAAAAACCTCCATACCTTGTTCGTTCACATTTGATAAATATGGACTGAAGGCATTACAAGGAAGTAAAAAAATCGTTGAAAGTTCAGTCGCCAAGATTGCCTTTAAAAATTACAACAAATGAGATCAAGCAAAGAACTAATAAATCATCTCGTTCTGATTTTGTCTGTCTATTTGTCACTTACACTTCTTTTTTCTCTGTCTGCTGCTCAACGTCTGTCTGTCTGTCTGTCTGTCTCTCTCTCTCTCTCTCTCTCTCTCTCTTTCTCTCTATCTATCCCTCTCTTTCCCTACATCTCTTTTTATCTATCACCTCTCTATTTCTTTCTACCTACCTATTTCCTTTGTTTCCTTTTTCCATTGTCCTCTATCCCACTCTCCTTCTTTTACTGTCTGTTCGCTTCTCTCTCTCTCTCTCTACCTACCTACCTATCAATCTATCCATTTATCTTTCTCTTTCTTTCCATTATTTATCTTTCTCCCTCTCGCATGCCTTTATTCTTTTTTTTATCTCACTCCATTACTCGCTACTCGCTCTCACTTCCCACTCTCTCTTTCTCTATCAGTCCATCTACCTATAAGGACACACACACACACACACACACACACACACACACACACACACACATATATATATATATATATATATATACATTATATACAAGCAGATCTAGGACTAGGAGAAGAGTCAATCGAATTTTTTAAGTCGTTAAAACCTGGCTTAGGATCTGTATTAAATTTTTCAAAATTTATGTACGATTTTTAATGCGAAATAAAATGTAAAACTTTTGACTGCTTTATTTTATTGAAAATTGATTTTTTGAAGTTTTATCTGTCTAATACTCTTGTACCTATCAATACTAGGGGTGGTTAATGAGTATTTAATCGTTCAGCAATGACCTAACGGATTCAAATGAATAAATTAAACATTGAACATTATTTTATTATTGCATTTAGTCTAGTAAAAAATATTATCTTCCAGTTCAATTTGATGCAGCGGTCTCAGTGTTCCGTGAGGTGTCGAGGGTGTTACCGCCCACGACACCACTCCCTCTCGGCTCCCCCAGCTCGATCCCAACTCTGAGTCATCACTCAATCAACGCACTTGTTTAGAAGAGAGGCAAGACGTGGGGAAAATACTGAAAATACATTTAGCCGCCCCCCGGCCACGTAATAAGGGCCTCGGACCGATGGAACACTCCACTTCGAGTGCTACACCCTGTAACATTTAATAAGGAGTACAGTCGGAGCATTTAGTAGCCTCTCTGATAAGATAAATCTCTTATAGTCACACGCGATTTTATTTTTCTTCAAATGCTTATCTTGTTTAATGGAAAATGTGGCACACCATTAGAAGGATTTTATGGGTCAAGCTTGATCAATGACATCTAGCAATATTGCCAGTTACGTTAATGAAATAAAGTGAGATTTCCCATTTATATACTTTAACATATTGATGCATCAAAAGAGAGGCACTGAGGGTGTCACAGACAGACAAACAAAGACACGGAGGGAATGAAAGAGATAGATCGACAGATATAGATAGGGGAGGGAGAGAGAGAGAGAGAGAGAGAGAGAGAGAGAGAGAGGAAGCGTGGGAGATGGAGCCGGAGTAATGGAATAAGAGAGAGGGAGAGGGAAAGAAAGAGAGAATAATGAAAAGAAAGAGAAAAATAAATAGATAGGTAGATAGTTAGAGAAGACAAGAGAAAGAAAGATAAATGAATCGAAGGATAGATAGAGAGAAGGAATGAGAAAAGAAGAGAGTGAGAGAGAGAGTGGGAGAGAGAACGAGTGAAAGAGAGGAGAGAGCGGGAGGGGGAGGCGGTGTAAAAGAGAGAGAGAGAGAGAGAGAGAGAGAGAGAGAGAGGAAGAGTGGGAGATGGAACCGGAGTAATGGAATAAGAGGGAGGGAGAGGGAAAGAAAGAGAGAATAATGAAAAGAAAGAAAAAAATAAATAGATAGATAGATAGATAGATAGATAGAGAAGAAAAAAGAAAGAAAGATAAATGAATCGAAGGATAGATAGAGAGAAGGAATGAGAAAAGAAGAGAGTGAGAGTGAGAGAGAGAGAAAGAGAGAGAGAGAGTGAGAGAGATGGGGGCAAATATAAATAGATACATAGATAAGCATATGGATAGATGTAGAGATAAAGAAAGTATGTTTTTGTGTGTGTGTGTGTGTGTGTATGTGAGGGATGTGAGAGTAAGGGATAAAGGTGTGTTTCTAGAATAATACCTAACACAATTACAAAAAAAATCGTGCCTGTTCCTTCTTTTTCTATTGATACAATTAAGGAAAGACAAAATCCTTTAATACAGGACGCAAATAAAATTAAACTATATGTATGTAATGAAAGGAAAAAGGAACACGCAAAAGAAAAAAAGAAATTGGAGGTTGTTATAAAACGTTTTCTCAAGCTGTCACATGTCAGTTGTATTATTTATATTAATGGTCTCCCCCTAGGTTCTAAAACCAACTACCTGTCCATCATCATTTGTTGGAAGCACCAACTCATTTTGTTTAAGCTCTTCCCAAGACATCTTTACACAATATTTACATAATGTCTCCATTGCTTTGATACAATTTGCATTTTTTTGTTTGTTTGTTTTTAAACAATTATCACCATTTCTTTATATAAAGAGCACCATAAATTTATACGTCTATCTTAGATTTTCTCATATGTATATTTTCGCGGCAAATAAAAAAGTCAAGTTAAGCCTAAACATGTAACTTAAATAGAATATAAATAGTTTTTCGGTTGGATGCAAAGTTTAGGGATGGTTAGGGCAAAGTTTAATTTAGCCATTTATTATTTGTATTTTGCAACTAAGCCGCACACTTTCTATCCCAGCTCTCAAAACTATATAAAACCGACAAGGCAGAAAACTAAAACATTGATGGGTCGATTGAATGGGACAAGAAACAAAATGAGTTCCAGAATTACAAGAAAATCCCGTCTTCATCAAAATTCATACTGGCACAAAATCAGAAGCAAAAAAATTTTCAAGTAAAAAGAAGAGATAGTTCAGAAAAATTTGTAAATTCTCTAAATAGAGAAACCCCAATAGGAATAGTTTAGGACACATTTGAATGATGCGTTAAAGTCAGGTTAGAGTGATGCGTTGAAAAACATGGATTACTACCCGAGTTTCAACACGGACATAATACTTATGAGAATATGGCGGCCTTTTTAAGGATACCTATAAAAATAAGGGTGAAAAAAATGAGGCTAACGATATTATTTGATATCTCCATCGCCCCTTTAAATATTAATTTATTACAACAGCAAATATTACGATTATGTATTCCTGAACGATTCATATACGACCATTAATCTACTCAAAAATTAAACACTGTTCTTTCAAATTAATGGGCAAACCATGGCAACGCAACTACTCCATGTCGGTCTTCCGCAAGGAGCCGTTCCAAGTCCTCTATTGTTTTCTATCTACACATCCACACTTAAAAGTGTGGCTTTAGACCAGATAAAATTTGCCCAGTTTGCCGAAGATATAACACTATATTAACGGAAATGACATAGAAGAGGCAATACAGATAATTAGCACACCACTTGAAAGCTGTATTAATTGGATCAAGAATCTAGGACTCGTCTTATCAGAAGAAAACAGGTCAGCTATGTTTATAACACGAAACGAGTTAGAAAAACGGAAGTAGACTTACTAGCAAAAGACACTGCATAGAGTGGGGTTGCATACAACATTGTCGTAACGTGTGACATCAAAGCACACCTAAAACAAATTGCAAGAAGAAACTGGTCAGTACTTTTACATTATGCCAATATACATCTAAAAGAAACCCTGTGCATAGGCCAACAAAATTTTTCACGGCGTTATTCAGGTTATGGTTTAATCATAACCAAACAACATACCACCTTGCCGAAATTGGTCTAGTTGAGAATGTGAAACACGGACTATTGCCGATTCAAATCACGTTATCCTGGCATGCCCAAAAAAACACAATGGACAGGGAGATTTTGTTCCCGGAGCTACAAAAATGGAATAAAATTTTCTACAAAAGTGGATCACGCACTCTCGGACACAAAGACATCCCGGTTCTCGATGCACTCACCGCCTTTATAGATAAGAGCAACGTATCCATTTGACAACATGAAGTATTAAAAAAATCAATAAAAGACTTATCTGACAGGTTCCTGGGGATGGGTGGTTCTGGGCTATGGGATCGGGTGCCATAAAGGCTTGGGCGTTTTGCCCCGGATTCCATGCGGATGTGGGATCTTCCGTTGTATTATAAATGGTTTTTATCCACATCCCCGAAGACTGCACTCGTATGTATGCCCTAAAAGTTAATTAAAAAATAAAAATATCGATGATGGTGGTTTGGATATATATGGATGATAGGTTTGGCATTCTCCGGTGTTCGGCGGCGCCCACATGCTCTCAAATAGAAAAAAAAATGGCGCATACCCAAATGGCGATGCAAACCTCTAGAAATCCTAACCCAAAACACACATAAGAATTCCCTGGTAACGCTAAATCGATAATGTCCACGCAATGAAAATTTGTATTACCATCCTAAAAACCTATTCATTTTCCACCTAAAAAGGACTAGATTAATCAATACATGAAAATGTAGGTTACATATCCTATGTAGGTTCATTTTATCTATTTTTTATAAAGAAAATTAAAGGAAATGTAATTATTGCGATGTAACCTTGCGCAGAGGAAATATGCAATGAAGTTCTACTAATTATTACGATGTTTTAAAATAGAATATTTGATAAAATAAAACTGTTAAAATTATAACGTTGAGTAGTTATTGGGTAAAACAACAGGTACACTAGTAATTGGAAACCCTGTATAGTAAACACTAAAATATTCATGTAATAACAAATTAAGATGGCAGCTTCAGTGGGCGGGGTCGTCGGAGAGGCTCTTGCGAGAACACGACGGGTAGATGGCCCTCAGAGAACCTGAACAGGGGACGAGGGATCGTCCTCACCCGACTGAGGATTGGCCATACACGGTTGACACATGGGCACTTGCTTTTGGCCCCTTATGCAGAGAAAGGTTGCTCGATGTGACTCACATAATATAGGTGTTTCATGCCTTGGCTCCATACAGAGAGCGTGTAGGCATGCCGCCGGACTTAAGAAGAGTTCTCGAACACGGTAGCGAGTTTCAGTCCCCTGTTCCGCTTTTTAGGGGAAATTGTTTTTTTTATTGTATTATGTCTTATGTGTTGTGTCTATGTTTTGTCTAAGTGCATGTATTTATTAGCGTGAAAGGCGAGGGGTGAGGGTGAAATATAACGTCATCATCGCTCCTCGAACGTTGAGAGCGTAAGAGTGTGTGTGCGGGGTCGATGGCGGAATATCAATAAAAGTCGACCCCAAGCTACATTAGTTTAAGTATAGGTCGGTGGAGGAATAGCAAGTACTCCACCGACCAAACGGAATGAGTGCACTGTATGGATGTATTTATGTGTATGAATGTATTTATTTGTACGAATGTAGTGTTTGAAAGGGTAAATATAATATAGACTTAGTTGGGGGCTGAAATGACCTAGATGTCGGAAGCCCCAGTAAAAAAAATTAAATTATTTGTAAATTATCGTTTATAAAAATATCAAGCATCAGAGCTTGTTTATAAAAAATGAAAATATTGTTAGTTATTAGACTATATTTCTTCATAAAAGGTAGGTGAGTGGGAATCCACCCATACTTACACATCGCAAGCAGTAACAAATGGTCCATTTTTTATAATTATTCAATATTAAAAATTCCGCTCCGGTAGTGGCGAGTAAAGTTGAGCAACCTTACCCCAGCTACAGTGTAATTTCATGTATGCTTTTAGCTTTTGTTTTTATAAAAGGACGTTGAAATTACAGTGGTTTGTGCGGTTTGTGTTTTTTTTTTCATTTTAGTCAACTCTCTTTTGGTAAATTTCGAAATTTTTAAATCTCTATTAAAGTTTAATTTAGATTTATGTTTCTGCTAGTTATTGTCATGATTTTAGCCATACTAGTTGAAATGTTTAAAGGACTTTATTTTTTAAAATTCTTTTAGTTAGTTATTACAACGTACATGTATTATATTTGATAATGTGGTGTTTTATCAATTTTTTATTTAATAATAATTAGTTTGTTTTAACTTGTATTCGCCTTGGCATGCTTTTCTATTGGGGTTTATCAGACTTAAAAGATCGGATCGCTCATTATCTCTCCGTTAGGGATTTGCAACGCTTGAATATTTACTGCTAGCGAACACGTTCTTTTCCGGATTTTGAAGGCACCTCAGCCGTCTGAAGGCTGGATTTTATTTTCGTCACATTTTTCCTCATTCGTCTGAGAAGCTGACTCGACGCAGCGGCCGTCTTAGTTCCCAACCGTTCGAGACGTACGTGACTTTTTGAAAGCGTAACCGAGACGGATCGGCGGGTTTAAAAGGTGAAACGAGGTTTTTAAGATCATTGGCGAAATTTCGAAAACAAAAAAATTTGGCGCCAACACATGCCGTCCAACTAAGCCAACTCACTCGTCTAATATCTAAAACCCAGAAAGAAAAATTAGGACAGTCAAAAGAAGACATAAAGATAGAGATAGAATTATACATAGGTAAGAATGATCTATCTGTACAGAACGTCACACTACATGAATTTCTAAAATAAAAACATATAAAACATATGTCAAAGAGCATTCCAGCTTATTGATAAATACTCTCGGCTGAAGTACATTGCGAAATAATGTGTTATTTTCTATTAGGTCCGTTCTTTGTGTATGTAGAATTTCATGTAATATAATCTTTCATAACATTTTCTGATCCAAGGAAAAAAATTGACTTGTGCCTAACAACCTCGAAACACATAAACAAAACTGGTACAAAACCTCATAAAATAAAATCAATTTGCTTAAAATATTTGAATTTCTAGGCTCTTTGTTGAGAAAAACGCTTGGACACGTATCTAATAATTTTCGATGTAGTATAACCAAAATAACAATTAAAACCAGTGATTCTACGCCTTTTGCCAAAAGTTCAAAAATTGTACAGACGTGCATTGTTACTAAAGCCGAAAGAAGGTCTCCCATTCCGTAAAATTCGTCAATTTTATAAATTTACCCGATGCTGAAGATTTCTCAATCGAATCAATGAATTAGATTTATTTTAAAGTCAAAATAATACAGGATACTCTCTATAAACAGTGCTTCTTAAGATTTAAAGATTATAATGACCATAAACACCGCAAAGATGAGAATAAAAAGACAAAACTTACCACAAACAATATGGAATAATATGAGGTTTCTGGTGTAGAAAACCTTATATAATTCGACTAGAAAAATGGATCAGACTTGACAAACAACTAAAGTATGGTATTCTTCTAAGAACTTTAATTTCATGAAATTTATTAATTAATAATTGAAACAAAATATACTGCTTAATGATAAAGGAATCGGTGATTTTCACAGCCCAGTAAACTAAGTTGAAGTCCAGCGGCAATAAATAAGAAAAATAATTTTTTTTCCTTTCGAGGGTTTCGCATATGAAAGGATAAAGGGAGGAAAATGCTTCAGGACACTATTCTACAACCAATCAATCCCATACGAATTCCTTTATGAAAAGAATCTTTGTATCAGAGGGCGTTTATTTGAATAAAATCGTCTATAATGAGACATTTCCTTTCATTCCCCGAAGTTGAAAAAAAAATCGGAGCTCTTTTGACCCTTGGAAAATATCGACATAACAAATCGGTAACCAGAGCCAGTCTTTGTGTACACCCGGGAGTCGACATGTTCTACAAAACATTTGCGGTCGCCTCTTTGTAACAAGGGGTGGCACAGTTCGGATTACCGTGGAGGCCCTTTTGCTCGTCAGATCCTATTAAGATATTTAGGAAGTACTACTGTAAGAAAGAGACGCATCTTTGGCCGCCTTTTCCAGATCCTATTTCAGATTTGAAAAGGCCTATTTGGACACGTACACATGGCTGGGGTAAGGAAATTCGGTGTGAAATTTCTTTCCAATAGCATAAAAAAATTCTTTATCATCACGATCCCATTCTCAATATTTTACTTCTTTCTTGGACAATTTCACAGTAAGTATTGCGCAATATTATTTTCCCATCCAAATACCTACCTACCAATATCTACCTTTTTACTCTTCCTCTTTCACGTCACTCTTCACTCCGGCTCTCTCTCCCTTTCTCTCACTCTCTCTCTCCCTCTCTCTCTCTCCATCTATCTCTTTCACTCTCTTTGTGTCTCTTCGTTTATCTGCCCCTCATTTTCTTTCCCCCACTCTCTCTTACTCTCTCTCACTCTAACTCTCCCTCTCACTCTCTCTCTCTCTCTCTCTCTCTCTCTCTCTCTCTCTCTCTATCACTTTTATCGTTCTATCTTGTATAATTTTATTAATTTGAATGACTACAGTAAATTTTACGAATTAATTTGATTTCGTGGATATTTTAGTGGCCATTGTTTTTGATCAAAGACAGTTTTTTCCATAAATTTATTGTACAATTATTCTCTAAATATTTACTTTCGAAAGATAATAATTTTTTGATATTAGAAACAATTCTATAAAATTTTTTTCGTTAAATTCAGCTGTAATTCAATAGTAGTTTAAAAAATGTATAAATCTTAACAGTAATAGTACACAGTGTTATTCTATTATTGTTAACCATAAGCAAAATTTATACAATTAATATTATCTCGTTAAGGAAATTTTTACTAGGTTAGATCAAAACAAAAATATTTACTATATATAAAATATACC